ATGACAAAAATACCTAATCACATATCCCTTTTAAACAGTTTTCTCCCTCATCTGTTTCAATGCAGTATACATTATTGAACCCATCTTTCTTAGTCTCTCCCCAAATCCAAGGTCAGTCCTGTTTTACAACAGTGGCACCATGCAGTATATGTCCTTTTGTGACTGGGATACTTCACTCAGCATAATGTCCTCCAGAGTCCCCCATTTTGAATAATAGTGCATGAGTTCCTTGTTTTTCAATGCAGCATAGTATTCTATTGTGTGAATATACCACAGCTTCTCTGTCCATTCATTTGTTGATGGGCACTTAGGTTGTTTCCAAATCCTTGCTATTGTGAACAAAGCTGCAATAAACATGGGTGTGCATATATCTGCTGGATGTCAGTTATGGTCTCTTTGGGGTATATTCCCAGTAGTGGAATTGCTGGTCAAATGGTTCTCTATTTGCAACTTTTTGAGAAAGCGCCATACCGCCTTCCACAGTGGTTGCCCCATTTTACACTCCCACCAACAGTGAATAAGGGCTCCAGTTTTTCCACAAACTCGCCAGCATTTGTTTCTTACTGTTCTGTTAAATTTTGCTATTCTGACTGGGGTGAGATGATATCACATAGTTGTTTTAATGTTTTAATAGCTCTTAGAGCTAGGGATTTTGAACATTTCTTCATGTGCTTGTTAGCCATCTGAATATCATCTTCAGTGAAGTGCCTGTTCATATCTTGTGCCCATTTTACTATTGGATTATTTACCTTTATCTTGTTTTGGTGTTCTGTTCAATTCTTTAACTTCCTCATTCCTTCCCTTTGTTCTTGCTTCTTGACATTCTAGAATATACTAGTCTCTTCTGACACCCATTTTTGGTCTTTTCTTCCTCCTCTTGTCATTATAATAATCTTTTGCATTCTTCATGGATATCATCCCGTAGCATATCTGGTCTTCGTTCATTAGTGTTCAATGTCTCAAATCTGTTCTTGAGATGGTTTATTAATTCAGGTGGAATAGACTTAAGGCCATATTTAGTTTTTGTGGATTTGTTTTCATTTTCTTTAGATTCAATCTGAATATGAATATGAGTGATCTCTTCCACAGTCTACACCTGGATATTGAGCTCCTCCCATGAATCTTTCCACAGATGTTCAGTCTGATTCCTTTGTAATCCATTAGGTGAGGTCCTTGTAGATCGTCACCATTTTTGGTTTTATAAAAGGTATTTGCAATAAATAAATCATTACTTGTACAAAATTCTATTATTTTATCTCCAGCCTCATTTCTGTAACCAAGATTATATTTTCCGACTACTCTTCCTTCTTTTTTGTTCCAACCTTTTACATTCCAGTCACCAATTATTATTAATGAATCTTGATTGCATGTTTGATCAGTTTCAGCCTGCAAACTTGGTAGAAATCCTTTCTTTATTTCCTCTTCTGCTTTTTTTTAATTTAAAAATTTTTTTTTATTTTATTTTTACTATTTTGTGTGTGTGTACCATCAAATCAGATCTGACTGGTACAGGAGGAGATTGTTCCTCCTTCACCAGCAGAGCATCTGTTGGATTCGAACTGCGTACTTCTAGGATTGCAGTGCAGCTTCTTGCCACTAGACCACCAGAGCTCACCTATTTCCTCTTCTTTTGCATTAGCTATTGGTGCACATATTTAAACGACAATGATATTAATAGATCTTCCTTGTTAGCTTGTAGTTTCCTGTCACTCACAACATAACAGTATATACTCCAAATGCATTCACAAGCAGCAGGCATTGCAGCAATGGTTTGTAAACTTCTTAATCATAAACACCCTGAAGGAATGAGATGCTGGTTCTTGGATCTGAAGTCCCTAGTCTCGAGAGACACCATGATCAACCGCCATAACACAGTTCACAAACACAGTGCTCTATATCCTACTTGGACGAATAGCAACCAGAGTCTTAAAAGCTTGCACATAAGCATGTAAGGTACAACTACTAATCTCTATCTTGAACGAAGAAGAGGAAATAAAAGTAAAGACACTGAAACAATTAGTCTAAAAGATTAATGGATCACATGAACCACAACTTACATAATTCAAGACCAGTGAACTAGATGGTCCCTGGCTATAGCTTAACACTTTTTTTTTGAGGAGACAATTTATTATTATTATTATTATTATTTTAATGAAAGTTTACAGAGACTTAGGGTTTTCAGGCATTCATTGTTGTACTTTTCTCCCTGCCCATCCCCTCGTCCCAATTAACTCTTCTCCTTGAACAGTAAAAGAGAAACTCTTTCATTGTTTATACAATCCCTTCCCTCAAGTCCTCTCCACTGTGCAGCCTTCATTCGGGACTCCTGTCATGACAATAATACCCAATCATACATCCTTTTACACAGTTCTCTCCTCATCTGTTTCAATGCAGTATACATCATTCCTCCCCTCCTTTTCTGTATTGCCTCAACCCTGATGTCAGTCCTGTTTTACTACAGTGCCCTTATGCAATATTTGTCCTTTTGTGACTGAGATATTTCACTCAGCATAATGTCCTCCAGGGGCATCCATTTTGTATAATATTTCATGAGTTCCTTGTTTTTCAGTGCTGCATAGTACTCCACCGTGTGACTACACCAGAGCTTTTCTATCCATTCATTTGTTGACGGTAGCTGAACACTTTCAAAAGGATCACAGTAGATGATCCCAGATAGAGTGAGGGAGAATGTGAAACAAAACTGAAAACATAAAAAAAGGACTAGGTTATTAGTCCAATAGAAAGTGGTAGTACCCCTGAGACTATGACTCTTGATAACCCTTTGAACACAAAACAAAACTAACTTCCATGGCTTAACCATGAGCAAAATAATAAACTAATATAAAGTAGAGCTTGGATGGTAGAGCTTGAAGGAGGCTCCTCAGGAGAAAGATGGGGGTGTTTCCTACTATGTGATTTACAGCCTCCAAAAACTTGCTAAGGGTCATCTATGAGTTGGTTCAGACTCTATACCAAAGAGTTTTCTAGGGTGACCAATAACACCAGAAGGCACTGACGTTTTGTAACAATTAACCATAAAGAGCCATTTGGTCAAGGATAAAACCCTGAAGACAACAAAGGATAGGATAACTCATTACTTTCAAGTCGGAATTAACTCAAACTCCAGAAGGTTTTAATTCAAGGTTTTTGAGGAGCTCTGATAACCTAATGGCAAGAAGCTGTACCACAATACCCAAAACGCACACGGTTAGAATCTACTAGCACCTCCATATAAAAAGAATTGGCAGCCTCCTCCTGTGCAGTTTATTGCCTCTGGAAACCCACTGGAGAGTCAGCTTTGAGTTCATTCCAACATGCTGGCACACAACAACTCATGAGGAGACTGCCTATTATTCTCTTATGGAGTGTCTGGTGGATTCCAACCAGCAGGAGAGCAGGGTTTGCTGGTTTAGCAGTGCAACTCCCTACATACAAAGCTCCCAGAGGGTAGAACAGAAGAATTAACACCAATGAGTATTATAGAGAGGAAGTGGGGAAAGTATGATTACATTGTGGACATTAAAATTCATGATAGAAAATATAATATGTAAATGAAAAGCAATTATGTTTTACAAACTATCAGTCAAATTAACATAAAGGTTTTTACAAAATCACTAGTCTCTACAATCTAAAGCACACCGTCCCTCGCCCTCTGCTTCCTGATAACTACCAACGAACCCTGGTCTTCCTATATGTATCTATTTTTATCTACTTATAAAGGAGGAATTCTATACATTTGTTCTAACATGCTCAACTTATTCCACTTTAACATTATGCTCTCCATGCCTGTCCATGTTCTCATACATTTTGTGATTCATCATTGTTTTTTATTGTTGGGTGGCATTCTTGAACCACAATTTGCTAATTTACCAATGCAATGATATAAGCACTTCCGTCATTTCTATTTATTCACATTTGTGACTAAAGCACTAAATAGCATAGAAAAAAGTTAGAAAGGTAAAATATAAAGATATTGGAAAGAAGAAGTGTGACTGTCTGCCTAGGTATCATATTATTATTCATAGTTATCCTCACTCCATGCTTTGCTTTAATAGTTTATGTTAAAAGAAATTATAAATTGTGAAACAGCAAAAAAATGTTTTTAAGTCAGGAACACAATTAAGATTCTATAAACTTACTCACAAAATTAGTAAAAATATATCAACATACCCTCCACACATGAAGATCTCATTTGAAGCATGTCTGCCAGCAGTTCCCACTAGCATATCATCTAAACAAGAAAAACAGTTCCATTGTAATGCGTAATTAAAAATACAAGCATTTTTAACATTATGAGAGAATAATTTCAGTATAACACAAATTTAAGATGAGAAACAATAGGTGAATATAAAAAACTGCTTGAAGCTCAACGTAAACCACTAAACTTCTGATGCGCACTTCTGTAAAAAAACCAAAAAATCAGGTAGCTTAATAAGTAAATTATATTTATTTCTTTACCATTCATATTTGTTATTTTTTATCAGTTCCTTTAATGTATTGTTGACAGTTTTAAAAAATACTGTGATCTTAAACCCATTTTTCCCCCTATCATTTCTGTGGTTTTCACAAAACAATTTTGCATAGTACAATAATTTGTAGAAACCCACATGGTAAACCTGTAAGGAGCCAGAGTAATGTATTATGTCATGTATCAGACTGCTAATAGAAAGGCTGATCACTGAAAATGATAGCTGCAAAAGATGGGTAGTCTCCTCCTATTAAGAGAAGCTCAAAAGAGTGTCACTATCGCTTGGAAGAGACTTGACTACAAGAGATAGGTCATATTATAGCAGAACAGACTGCACAACTTAAAAACTCTGTCAATTATAATGCTAGAGAATACACATCTTCCTGTACTATACACAAAGTAGGTATTTTGGAAGCCGGAGCTAAGCGAAGCCAAGCTGCTGAAAGTGGGTCACTAAAACCAAGCATGACAGATGGAATTTGAGTAAGGGTCTCACACGTGGCAATGGGGAAGGGTCTGCGCACACACCAGTCCAATATGCATCTGGGCGCATGCCCCACGCCCATGAACACTCGCGCTTGTTCCTGTCCTGTCTTGCATCTTCACTGGGTCAGAAGTTCAGAGAGAAACACAGGTAGGGTAACTGCCCACCATCTTCTGGAGCAGTGAATTCAGATAAACAACCTTTCATTGCCTCAGGCATTAAAAAAAACCTCTACCACAGCAATGTCACATAAGCGGCAGGCAACCTCACACTACAAAAGCCCAAAGCAAGATGCCACTCTCAAAAACTGACAAAGTATAAATGGGTTTCCTAAAGCTAGAAAGTCTGAAGGAACACTTGGACACAGAAATAGAAAGAACAATAACTGAATATTTTCAACTGGTGAAATACAAACTTGAAGAATTACGGGACACTGCAAGCAAAAACCAAGAGAAGCTTAAAAAAACAAAACAAACAAACAAAATAAGATTCAAAACAATAAAAATGAAACAAACGAGGCATTAAAGACTCTGGAAAAACAAGAAACCAAAACCCCAAATATGAGGTACGATGTTCCAGATGCTGTCAACATGATTGAGGGACATATGAACAGAGTTGAAGAGATGGAACACAGAAGCAGTGAAAGAGAACATAGAACTGTTATCACTGATCTGCTAGAGCAAAAAGCAGAATCAAACAGGAAGGAAAAAGAAGAAAACCTAAGAATAATGTGGGACACCATCAAGAATAATAACATGTGCATCATCAGAATCCCAAAAAAGAAACAAGGCACCAAAAAAGTTGTGGAAGAATTACTAGAAGAAAATTTCCCAGGCATGCTGAAAAACGAGAGAATAGATATTCAAGAAGCTGAGCAAACACCATATAGAACAAACTCTAAAACAAAAACACCACGGCATATGATACCCAAATTTGCCAGAACAAGATAAGGAGAGAATTCTGAAAGCAGCAAGGGAGAAACAAAGAGTAACTTATATGGGAGAATAGATAAGAATAAGTGTCAATTTCTTGACAGAAACCATGCAAGCAAGAAGACTGTGGAGTGACATATATCAAACACTCAAAGAAGACATCTGTCAACCAAGAGTATTGTACCCAGTGAAATAGTCCATCAAATAGGAAGGAGAGATCAAGATAGTCCCAGAAAAACAGAACCTAAGGGAGTTTGTAAAAACAAGAACAGAGTAGCAGGAAACACTGAGAGATGTCCCTCTTAAAGAGGTGTCACAGAAAGCAGGATGGACCGAAGTAACTAGCAACACCACCATAAAGAACTCAACAAAATTATAACAATGAAGCCTTGCCTCTCAAGTCAAACTGAATGCAAATTGTTTGAATGCACCACTGAAGAGAAAGAGTAGCAGGTATGATAAAAAACCCAAAATCAATCAATAAACTGTCTGCAAGAGAAATACCTGAAAAGTGAAGATAAAGATTAAAAATAAAGACTAGGGAAAAAAATATACCAAGCAAAGGGCAAACAGAAAAACGCAGGGGCAACGAAATTAATTTCTGACAATTTTGATGCAAAACCATTAAAAAGGAAAAGGAAGAGCATTACATAATGCTTAAAGGGTTATTAGAACAAGAGGACACAGCAATAATTATCTGGCTTAGGAAGTAGATGCCACTCCTGCTTCCAAACAGGTTTACAACTAGGAGCTCCACCAAACACTGTCTACATTGGGAAATCATTCTGGTATTTGATATACCAATAGTACCAGGTTCAACAACAACCAACTTTACTTCATAATGCACATTGACAAAGAGTGCTATACAAACCGGAAGAGTATTCCTCCATATATAACAGGCCTAATTTAACTTAGCACTAGTTAAGTGCCATCAAGTTGAATATAATTAAGAGCAAGTTTTGCCCAAAAGACTTAAACTCTATTTTATAATTAACACCATTTCTCTAAAGAATGCAGTTCTATAAATAGCATCATTTCTGTAAATTATAGAGTTTAGAGAGTTTGTAAAATACAAGGGAGGAAAAAAATCATACATTTTGAAGCTAAACAACAACTTGCTTGAACATAAATAGGTTCTAGAATAAAAAGTTTCTTTTTTT